TCCACCATGTGTATCGACAGGCACTCTCTTGTCTTAAGCTGTGATTTTGGATGAAACAGGCTTAAAATTACAGGCAAGAATGACACTAACAAGCAAAACAATTTTCAGGATCACTGGACATTTTCACCAAAATATTTCCTTCTAAGCACTCAGAGATGTTTCCGACCATGCTGCTTGAGGCCCTATCTAGGATACCGTAGCAACATGAAGGCTGATGGTGGCAGATATGATGTTGTTGGTGGTGGTTTGGCATGCCAAATGCCACATGACTCTAAATGGGCAGTCTGAGGGCAGCTAGTTGTTAACAGTGAGGAATATGCAGCACTGTCCTTTTCACCCCTGTCACTGCTTTGTGAAAGCCAGGCATCTCACAGGGAAACATTTAAGTTGGCATTAATATCATAATCAGAGGTCTGTTTATTCTCAGATGGACAGCGTGCAGTTAAACACAGAGCAACACACACACACACACTCATTCCCCGCTCCAAGCTTCCCTTAGGCTCAGCCATTCCCACTTGTATCCAGCTCCAGGAGCTCAAGTCACTTCACATTCCCGACATATTCCACCATCATGGCCCATCATCACCAGCACAGACTTGACCTGCTGTTACCTCAGTATTAAAGTCAGTAAACACAGACTCACAAACTGACCGTCATAACATTTTTTGCATAGTATGTCACCATAAAGTGTTAGGCTCTTTTTCTTCTAGTTTTTTGTTAAATAATGTACCTCATAAATATTTTTCTTTGAATCCATGATATGTTTTGAGGGCATAGCTGATGCAATATTACAACTGCCTGCACATCAAACCCACCTTTACAATTAATAATCGATTTATTTCCTCCTTTTTTCAAATGTTGCAGAGTTTGTGGATGAAAGTAATAAGTTATTACGGATGTTAGAGAAAAGAAAATACTAACATTTGTAAAATTAAACAACTTTCTTTTGGCAAATGTGTTGATTTTGAAATGTTTTACAGTCTTTGGTCTTCCAGTAAGAAAAAATAATAAAGGCAATACCAACAAAACACAAGGGTTAGTAACCTGGTCATTAATAGCCTTTTTATAATGACATACATTAAGCATGCATAAAGAGGTTTTCAAATGGACTTTGTTTTAACAACAAATAAAATGTAAGGTATGCATACAATTTCCACTAAAAACAAACAAATGTAAGAAATGATTACTTTCAAAAGATCCTGACTAATTTGCTGTAGCCTTTTAATCCATTGTAATGTTTTTTTTTTCTGTTGTAAGCAATGGAGTAATAATTGTCCGTTAGGATATAATGAGGCAGCAACAGCTGCTCACAAACATGGAGTTTTCCAACTGTAGATAAGACAATCTACTGATAACTTAGAGAGTAAACAATCCCTGCCTCTCACACTTGCACTCTGTCCGTCTGTCTCCTTCTGTACCTTCTCTCAGGCCTTATCTAATGTTGAATGTTTTTACTTAAACTCAAACTCTAACATGGCCATCACCCGTCGCCAAATAGGCCGGCTGTTACAAAACAATCTGTTTCATGCCAGGGGGCAGATTTACAGCACCACATCTCAGCCACCTCTCCACGTCAAAATGTGTGTCATAGATTGAATAGATTTGGGTTTCTGTGTATTTGTCAGTCTTCCATGTTCTTATATAACTGCTCATTTAGGAATGCCAGATTTCCCAAGGCTGGTTTATTTAGCCTCGAATCATTCCATCGCACACCTTTGACCTCAAACCAAATGATGTGATACTATAGTGTGTGTGTGTGTGTGTGTGTGTGTGTGTGTGTGTGTGTGTGTGTGTGTGTGTGTGTGTGTGTGTGTGTGTGTGTGTGTGTGTGTGTGTGTGTGTGTGTGTGTGTGTGTGTCCGGGATGCAGGTAGAATTGAATCTCTGATACTGTTATCAGTATCATGGTGGTGGGGGCCTGTTGGGAAGACCCACTGCAACTCTGACCTACTTATATTAGTGTACAGGGCTGCATGTATATGTTTGTGGATTGTTTGTGCATTTGTGTTTGCATGTACATGTGTGTTTGTTTAATAGTGCTTGGGGCTGTGTGTATTTAAGGCAAAGTCTCTGTGGACGTGGGTAGTGTGAGAAGCTGGGTGTTTTGACAGCTTTAGAACAGTTCCAGTACAGTGCTGAGGCAGGGGGTGTGCAGGCCTGTTGGGTATTTGGGCGAGCTGTAAGGGTGAGTTTAGGGTCAGTGGAGGAGTGGACAAGAGGGAATGAGATGAGGGGAAGAGTTTTATTTCAAAGTGCTCTACGGCCATTAAAATGATACCTGATATCCATTGCTTAATACTTCTCTATAGGAATTCAGAGCACATCCATTATTGAGGCAATGCCTCTCAGTTATCAGTGCTAGCAGTGCAAACAACTGCAACAGAGTTGAAAGCTGGTTGGGAACAGTTATCAGCGGTAACACAAGTGCAGTGCAGCGACAAAGACTCACGTAACACATGCATTCTATGCTCTGGATGGCATAACTCCACTATATTTACATAGCAAATTTGTTTGATACTTTACTAATTCCCCTAATGTTGTGTATCGAACCTTACCTTTGTTAATATAACAAAAAACTCATGATGTCATCTGAAATCAATCCATCTGAGCCAAAAGTTATTAACTGTCTCCATAATGTAAACAAGTAGAACATTTTACTGATCACCTGCAATAGTTCTGTTAGAACAGGTGTCACATATTTTTAAATGATGGCTCATGGATGGCATAATGGGAGAAAGCATTCACAGAGATAATATACAAGTATTTCAGAAGGGAATCAGGAAACCACCTTGTTATTTACTGAACTGGAACCAAATGTTTTCATCGAATTAAAATAATTCAAACTTTCCAAAAGACTTGAGGAACATTGGATGGCGATGAATATACTGCAGACTCAACTGAATATTTGTCCAAGCAGCAGGACACTCCTTGTTGAGGTAGTTATGCCAAAGAATGATCTCAGCTCATTCTCCCAACTTTAATCTCACCAAAGTGTAAAAGCAATGGGAGTAGACTTCCCACACAGTTAATAAAAGAGCGATAAAGCTCGTAAACAAAGCCACTCAGTCCTTTTTGTAGTACTGTAGCTGGAAAGGCCAGACATAAGATCAGACTAATGCTTGAGAGTTCTCTCCCAAGTCTACCTCTCCAACAAAGGGGCCGCCTCTCCCCATTTCTAAGCCCTCTCAGTGCCAGCGCTGTTGAACCCCTGCTTTCCTCAGCAGCATTCCAGCCCATCTTTCATGCTGTTTCATTCTGGCCATGCCAGCCAGGTCAGGGGCCAGAGCTTTCTCAGGGCTTGAAGACAACACTGGACAAATAGATATAAAAAAATACATCTCCACTTGGTTGCAAATTTGAACTTTTGTTCACTTTATCGTGTTGTTGATTCTTTGTTATGCATGTATGCTTTAGCAAAAAACACACAAAAACACTCCTCTATGAAATGTGGGGATAGATTACGGAGCAGTAGTAGGTTTGTGGTTTGCTATGGCCTTATTCTGCTTCAATAACATGTTGCACTGCATGCCTATAGTCTGTCTACCACTGATTATTGATGCTAGATCTGTCACAAAGATGTAGTCTATTGGTGCATTGGCCCTGAGCGACAACACTGACATATTCTAGCAAAGTGCTTATACCTTTGATTCAGAGGTCAGTATCAAATTCTACCAGTAGATGGCTGTCTTCAGTCTTCCACAGTAATGAAAGGAAAACTATCAAAAATGAATTAGATCTAATGCAATCAAATTCTAAAATCCACATCTAATCTCAAATTCCAGGCATGGCTATAATGAAAGGCAGATGACTCAGATGAAGGTTTCTGTCCTAAAAACATGCCCGGGCAAGGTCTTCAGCTGGATAACATCACATTTACAAAAGTTGAAAGTGAAAATTGTTTTACTGGCAGAATAGTGATGTATTTTCACCTCCTGGCAACATGGCAGCATTGTTCCTCTCTGGTACAGCTTAACATTCCAGAAATGAATTCCCAGATATCGAGATCTTGGAAAAATGTGAAGGGTAGAGAAGGCTGTGTATTATCCACAGCAATCCATGATATGCCTTTTCTCTTGGCTCCTGCATTAGCTTTTGTTGCAACACACAAGTGTTGCTATGTGTGGTAGCTAGTTGCTATGCCTGCACACCCAGAATAACCATAGAAGAAATTTTCTCGCCACTGGCCTTGACACATAACTACACAATTGAATATTTATCTGTATTAAAGTTGGGATTGACGATTAAAAACATGAAAGAGCAAAGATTCAAAGAGAAATCCATTATTGTCTTCAATATGATGGCTATTTAAAGTTGTCCAAAATGTTTTATTTTATTTGTAGGCTATTCTTTTTTTGGTAAATGGTAGCAATCCTTCTTTTAAAACATAATGAGACATAATAATGACAGAATCTACAACCAGCACAGCGGTGGATGTGAATGCTCCACTAACAAAAGGCAACTTGCTTTGCAGCATGTATTGAGTTAACAGGACGGAAAGAGCAAAGTTTCGGGGCGGGGATACTATAATTTCTGAAGGATAGGATTGGCTCCTGTGTCCTAATCTCTTATGATACGTTTAAGTGGTCATTTTCAGCTCCAACATCCAATGCCTTAAATCTTCAATCTAACTTTTTTTGTTCAAAAACTTTTGTCGAGTGATATTTATGTCAAAGAAAGCTACTTGGTGTCTGTCTTCAGCGCCAAGTCACACAGCACAGCAAAACTGACAATACAAAAGTACATTTAGACGCTAGGGGTAGATTTGTATCGAAATGAATGCACAATCATTTTTTAGATAAGATTTTCTCAACATTCATGTTTTATATGCTTTATATTCTACTCCAGAATACCACGGCTGTGTGTCGATGGGGTCTATTACACAAGGGAGGATTTAGGGGCGGCATTGTACCCGAAAAGTATTTTTTCTGATAGCACCTGAACACAACACAAGATGAGCAGGGCTACTTGTGTCATGACGCGCAGTCCTTGGAGGCGTGAGTCTGAGGAAATCAGCTGGGGAAACAACAACAGAAAAGGAGGTGACTCAGACCAGACATATATTTAGTCCGGTCATGTTTACATTTGTTTTGTACAAAGCGCTACGATTATAAATAACAACAGCATCTTATCAGGTCTGCAGCAGCGAGTGTGTATTTGCTGAGGTCTGAGAGACGCTGGATTACAGAGGCAGCGAGGGGAAGTGAAAGGTAGAGGATGTTACAGGGCAGAGGTCCTGCATTTATATGAGCTCTGTGACAAACAGCTGGACCACTGCGACCACCTCTGCATTCTCCACGTGTATTTGTCCGGTTTCACAGACCGGCTAATCCCCCAGCAGAGTGGCATGTGGGTCAACTCCGGAACCGTCGGAAGGTAGGCACCCCTCCTGCAGAAATACTGGGTCACATGCTCCCAATGCGATTCTCGATGTGCACAATGCAATCCACACACAGCTTGTAATGTCCTTAACTCTAAAGATACAAAAATCATTTGCTGTAGGTCTATTTCATTCAGTGTGACTTCATCGAACGTAGTGGGATTTTAATCCCCTCTATAAAGTCTCTGTAATAGTCTCAAGGGCTCTTATATTGACATGTATAACATTATTTAAGCAACGAGTTGCAACGATGGTAAGTATTACTTTTTAACCCACGCTTGTTGTAGTGCAGCGGATGGGCTTGGCACATTACGCAAGAACCGCATAATTTGGGATGTAGGCTGAAATCAACCTGCCTTTTACAACATATGTGTCAAATGCTTATTTGCCACGGCGCTGGATGCCAAGTGAAGTATAGGCTGCTTTTTATTTCTCCACACAAGGATGCCAAATATAATGTCTGATTTGATGAATCGGTTTCCCAAAAAAATATGAATGAGCCAGGTGGTTATGAATGGCTGCGGGACAAGGCAGCGCACGAGGTGCTTTTCATTGATGATTGAAGTGCTTCAGCCCAGGGAACAGCAAGAAGAGGATAAATGTGACAAATCAGGACAAAAGATAACGTTCAGTTTGAAAGAAAGCATCTGCACTCGCGAACGCACGCGCATGAATACATGCTCACACACACACACACACACACACACACACACACACACACACACACACACACACACACACACACACACACACACTGTAATCCTTATCCCGTGGCCATGACGTCATCAGACAGATTGTGTTACGCAGGGGCCTGTGGCTGGTGAAGAAGCCTTTCACTTTTACAGTACCTGGATATAGATAAAGTAATAATATTCTACAAGGTGGTTATCAGACTTTATATTCATTAAGCAATTAATCATATCTGTAGGATGTGGTTGCATAAACAATTTGGCACACCTGCCTTGCATATTGTCCAATCTTTGTCTTTAGGCCAATGCAATTATCTCCATAAAATATACCTTTTATTTGCCATCGTTTTGTTAAAAATAACAACCATTACATTTTAAGCATCACTATATTCTTTCCACATTCTGGTACAAATAATGTTTTAGTTTTGGTTTTAGACCTTCTATAACTACTAGTGTTAATGAATTAGTGATCGGGGCTGTCATTGTGTATAACGTCAGATGGATCTGGGACAGAGCTATTTATTGTCCTGGTTAGGCCCTATGCCCAACGCTGTGTCAACAGCTTTGAGATAACAGTGCAGCACTGACAGGCCCACATGGAATAGTCCACCAGCATTTTATGGCTGCCTTGAATGTTCTGACCCCTGTATCAGGCTGTAGAAAAAGGTAAACAGGGCAATAAACCATGCAGTTGTGTGTATATGTTATGCTTTATGTGCATGTCCTGTTCTGAATCCAGTATGTTATTACATGGAGCGTACAGCATTGGTAAAAAGTAGAGAAGAAAATGTGAAGAATGGGAGAAAAAGTGGGAGATACGATTGGAAAAATAAAGAATATGGGAGATATTAAACTAAGAAATTGCATGGATCGAAGTAGATAATGGAAAAAAAGGGCGTAAAAGAAAAAGAGAAACAAGTTGAGACACAGAGAGAGAGAGAGAGAGAGAGAAAGAGTAGGTGGAAAATACAGACAAGGGAGGAGGAAGATGGGGAGGGATAAAGGAAATGAGGGCATCAAGAGGAGCCATCCTGTGTATACAAAACTTTATCGCAGCAGTGAACAGAGAGGAGGATGGCTTTCTCAAGCAGGCTGACATGCTGCTCCCAAAGACCCTCTCATTCATTAGGATTGATGTGTACATATTGCCGCCTGCTACGGGCCATGCAGTACCATCTGTAGTGGGTTAGGCAAATACATGCCGACATGTATGTGTGTATGCATGTCTGCGCTGGTGTGTGTGAGTCTGAGGTCTCCTGTTGTCAGCCATCCAGGGAGCCAAGCAGAGGCTACAGACCACATTATATAACTAGTCTGTGCCAGCTGCGCCTGTGGCAAACCCCCACATAACACACCCACATGTTCACTCCCATGCTCACCTAAAATCATACAGAAGTGCAAATGAGTAAGCATTTTCCCTCATGTTAGCAGACTTTTGTTTAAAAAAAATAGAAGAAATAGGTTGCACACATGACTGCACATATAGCCATCGTTTCTTCCAACAATTACACATGGACACTTTGACTATGCAGTCAAGCCTATGATAGTGTAAACCCCATAGCTCTGTGTGAGGGCACAAGTGTTAGCCCATGTATAAAGTGGGTTATTGGGGTCATTTATTTTGCAAGGCAGGCTGGAGGGAGCAGAGAGGCAGGCGGATCAGTCAGGTTGATGGTATGAACTCTTGACCCCAGGAAGAGGAGAAAAAAGGCAGATGGGGGCGGTGGAGGGCTTTAGGATGAGCGGTGGCTGCTAGTGGATCAGTAAAGGTGTTTCATAACAGAGGAAAGCAGACAGAGGGGGAAGAAAACCGGATGTGGGGCAGCTGTCTGCTTAATGCTGCTCCTTGATGGCTATCCAGAAAAGATTGAGGTAATAGATAGATAGATGGATATACAAATGACCAAAAGGAGAGAGGATGGCATGACTTGGTGTGGTTTAGTGGGCACGTCTGGGATCTAAGCATACAGAGCTAGACAAACAGAAGGATGAATGAAAATATTAATATAAGGGAAGTGTTGCTAAAAGTAAAGATGACAGGAACTGTGCAAGGAAGTAGAGCTGCAAGCCATCTCCCTATGAAACCCCCTCTGGCCTTAAAGCAAAGCCGTACTGGGACGCACAGTATCCAAATTATGCATGAGCTTCTTTGTCTGTCTGGTCCTCCTGCTCCAAACACACACTTGCACAAAGACACTGACTCAATTTGTGACAATCCAGATTAAACCAGAAGGTCGGCGTATGTGTGTTGAGTGGGTGTTTGAGTTCCTGTCACAGCGTGTCTAGCACTGTGGTCTTGCCTACACCCATCAATATGTCACTATAAGAGACAAAAATACATGCAAAAAACTGAGACAGAAACTCATCCTTTCTTCACACACATAATATGATTTTACATGCCAACAATATTTTTCCCTTGCAACCTCCTGTGCTGCCTTGTCGGGAAACTGACACTGGCCAGCAGGTGAAGTCTAGACGTCAGTGTACAGTTTACTATAGGTCTAAAAATGAAACCTGAGCTTTGCAGCTTCTCTTTCCGCTCCTCTGAGCTGCATGGCTCTCACAGACTCCTGCTCATCTTTCAGTCAGGCAATTAACAAACATTGTTGAAATCTTGTGAAAGTTCCAACCAATTAAATATAAACCTGAGAGGAGGTGCATATATTTTAGGTGCAGTGATGCGCAACAAAATAATTGTGTTATGGTAGTTGACCGATGCATGACCACACTCTCGCTCGAAGCCCGATGCGTAGCCTCAGATGGAGGATGATATCTGGGAGCTTGGAACTGTTGATCCCCCCGAGAAACTCTCCACACCACCAACGCCGCCTCCTGGTTACATCACTGCTCACATCATTCCATGCCTCACAGACCGGCCCTAAGCTCATTACCCGAACACACATACATGCATGCACACACACGTACACACACACACACACACACACACACACACTCACATGCTCATATGCGTACTGACTTCCAGACTCCCTCGGGTCAGTAGAATGTTAAACTGTCCTCTGGTCTCTTTTATCTTTCTGTTAGAGAGCCACACATTAGAGAGAAGCAGCATCAGCAGCAACAGCAGGAAAAGCTGTAATATTTCCCCCTGGGCAGCCTTGGTTATTGTCGCTCTTGCCCTTTGATCCCAGTGGCATGACTGACTGATTCTAATGCTGGGTTGACAGTCCCTCTCTTTCTCTCTAAGACTCTAATAATCCCCATCCTGCCTTGTCTCTATTTGCAATCCCTTTTGCTGATCTACTGTTGCATTGGAAGTGCTAGGATTAATACTGTGCGTCCTCCCCCTTTACTACATATTGTGGATGTTGCTGAACCATTTATGTATTATGTCAGGATTCATACCTCATACCCTTCATCCTTTGGCTGCTGTCCTAGTGCAGCATTACAGCCTGCTACATTTGCGGTGACCGTCCGGCAGATAGCTGTTGGATAAGTGCAAGGTTGTGGTAACTTTGTATTGCTTCTTTTATCTTTTTACTCCTGCAGTTTGTGTCTCTGAAGGTGTTGCAGCTAGGCAGGGGGCAAGGGAAAAAGAGTATTTATAAAAAGGCACTGTTTTTTCTGTTCCATATGGACCATTCAGGAAACGGCAACCTTGACAGACACTTTTCTTCAGCTCACATAGACAAAGGTAGGGTCTCTGTTCTGACATAATTGGGACTACTTTTCACAGGAAATATGTTTTTGTCGTTGTTAACAAGGGAAATCATTGCCTGAGGTCTCTGTGGTAGAAATATGTTCTCTATTGCAGCATTAGCCTTATGTGGTCTGAGGTCTATAGTGACATTGACAGCAGGTCAAGGCTGTTAAGCTGGATGCACACATGGCTCATGTGTCCTATTATGAATGGATGCCATTTTTAGCTGCTGGTGTCTGTCGGTGCCGGACTTAAGTGTTGCACGTCAATGGAATAGCAAGTGAAGGCCTTTATGAATGTTTCAGATGCTCTATTTATGGAGCCTTGGGGTGGGTCTTTGAACAAGTTGCAAGAATGGATGGACTGATTAGCTGGCTACAGGTCTTACTGTGTGTGTTTGTGTCCGTGTGTGTTGGGGGGGTGGTCTGGTTATGCAATACAGCAGATTCTTTCAGGATCTTTTTTTTAAATGGGTATTAACAACGTGTTTTGACATGTCAGAAATGTTTGTAAGCAGTTTATAGAAAGGGGATTTTGATAAGCTTCACAGGGTTATATGGTTTTAAAACAGGAAGTCAGTTGAGCTGATTGCCCCATAACCACTTATGTCTTGTGTTATGGTTAAGTCTGTTGACAGGTTCTCTGCTTACTGTAAATGTAGTTTACCCCAACGGATGATGGGCATCCATAATTATTAGAATGCATTTTTTTTTTTTGGATGCATTGGATGCCATCCAGAATAGATAGACGGAAATACTGACACAAAGAGGAAAGGACAGTGAGCTCAAGGGATGTCTCTCTCTTTTTTGTCTTTCTCCCTCTCAGTGCTGTTACAGAAATAGCTCTGCAGTCCCTCTATTCCTCAGCCTGTAAACCTTGTGTTCTTTGAGGAGTTTGGCAGAAGCTTCCGTACACTGGTCAGTACAGCTATGGGGGCTTAGAGCCTTAACAAAGCTTCTCTGTGCTGCACTGCAAAATTGTTAAAAACACTGTGCCGAAATGCAATGTGTGTGATTCCTCCTGGGATTCGTGATCAATGAGATTTTAATTGACCATGAATATTGAATTAACCTCTTTTCTTTCTCTCTGTTTTTTTTTTTCCTACTCTCAAGGGCCCTCTCCATGGATATAGACACAGACTATGAGCGGCCCAATGTGGAAACCATAAAATGTGTGGTGGTAGGGGATAATGCAGTAGGCAAGACCAGGCTAATCTGTGCCCGGGCCTGCAATGCCACCCTCACACAGTATCAGCTGCTTGCCACCCACGTGCCAACCGTCTGGGCCATCGACCAGTACCGTGTATGCCAGGAGGTGGGTGCGCACACACACATGAACACACAGCCAAACACAGTATGGAAAAAATCACATATAGACAAACTCTGGCACACATTTTGACCTGGTGCTGTGGCTAATTGTGTTTATTGCATTTCTATTTTCTATCACAGTTAAATGCATCTCTTTTAAGGCCTTTGAAATCCAACTTGAAAAAGATTACAATGCAGTTCGACATTGTACATAGTTTTTCTTCCTTTCAAAGGGCTTGCATAATTACTTAATTTCCTCTAAAAACTCCAACACCACAATGAAGTGAAAACCTTTTGACCAGCTAACAGGGATATGTGTCTGTGTTTGCAGGTGTTGGAGAGATCTCGTGATGTAGTGGATGAAGTCAGTGTGTCCCTGAGGCTGTGGGACACATTTGGGGATCATCACAAAGACAGAAGATTTGCCTATGGCAGGTGAGCGGATACAAACATTTTTTCAAACATTTTAGCATCGAGAATCTAATTGAGCACCTTGAAACATGTTCGAAAATATAGCTTTGTCTTGGCTGAAGAATTTGTGAGGCATATACACAATTTCCTTTGGCCACTATTTGACCAAATGAATTGTTGCGCAAGTAAGTTACAATGAGAACGGATCTAATCCATCACACCTACGTAAACATGCCCACATAACATTTACTTACCCAAAAGTTACGTGTAATCCAGCTGCCACGTTTGAACTCTGCCCTCAATCTGTTACATCCTTCCTCCACCAGACATGATTGGATCATCGCTCTATCCTCTTACTCCCTGTCCTTTCATGAAATCGCTTTTATTGGCATGAAATGCAAAGTACTTATTCCCAAAGCAAAATCAGCAAAAACTAATCCCAACGACAGAGACCAAGCTGGACCACATGACAGTGACATTGAAAAGTGAAGATACATTTTATACATTAGTTTTACATTGCTGAGGCATTAAAACATATTTATTAAGTAAAGTGATACACATTTTTTGGTTTCTTAATTTCACCCATGTACGATTCCATTGTATCTATTTTAAGCTACCCTTCATAAATGAATGTGTCTCTTAGATAGTCAGAAGCCATTACCAGACATCCAACATCCACACACATGCATGTAAATCACAATGCGCAATCTGTGAGTTCTGTCAAGGGTGGGTGGAAGCACTTTGTGTAACATGTCATGTCGCCTTTGGCGGGTGCATCTGCGTGACAGAGGGTGACTTTGCGCATTTGAAGGTTGCATGTTCAGTTTTTGGCTCAAATTCCCTCCCCTCTATTGTGTTCTCCCACCTTTCAGTTTCTGTACTTTTTCACAGTGATCTGCCTCTGTTTTGATGTGTGTGCGTGTCTGTCTACATGTCCTGTATGCTTTGTCAGCCTGCAGTCAGCTGATAAAGACACAGTGCCAGCTCAGCTGTTTTCAGCCTGCCTGCCTCCCTGGAGTCTGCAGCTCCAGACATCGTGCTCTTCCTCCTCCTCTTCCTCCTCCTCCAGCCTGCCCCTAAACTCCTTTATCTCATCCCACCTCCCTCATCACTGCGTAACTCAACTCCCATCATTAGTCTCCTGTATACCCATGACACTTTGCTGCACCTTAACCCTCTCCACACCTTCCTCCACTCTGTAGCCTTTTGTTGATATCTATACTCAAAACATCACATTGTTAGACAATACCTAGACTGTCACATGCTTTTTTACGTTAACAACACTAGCTAGGAAACAAAGCCTTTCAAATCAGCCTAAAAACAGTCAGTCAAATCTAATTTAAGCCCATCTGAAACAATGTTTTCAGTCGGCATAAATGTGTTTAGAATGTGTCTAATTCTGTTGCTTAACTTAATAAGTAAAACACTTGCATATTGCACTTTTAAGCATTCGTGAAGGCTGTTTTTATCATACTGTCACAGACTCAGTGACTGATGAGGGTTGTCATGCCAGGCTGTGTTGGAAAACTTATACAAATGTTTGCACGAGACCCATTCAATCTATACAGGAGATCTGATTATATGTAACATCTGTGCTTGTGTCTCTGTGTCCAGACAAATGTTTCTTATATAACCTGACAGCTGATGACCTTTGTAGTTTGGATACACCACTAACATGCATGCATGCATTAATAAGCTGTAAAACAAGCCACTGGTGGAGTTATTTATTATGCATTAGTTGGGGTGGTAAGTTATTGGTGGTAGTAATGTTAACCTGTTTGCCTTATCATTTGACTTACATGCGCTTTCTCATTCAGACAAACCTACATTCAGTATAAATACACATCTTCAGTGAAGTAAACATCCAATGCTATTCCAAACAAGTTATCCTATCCAGATTGTAGAAGGCATAAACACGCCATATACATAATTACAATTTGTAGGTAATCTGCGTTGACCTGCAGGTTGAACTTGAAAAAAGCTCTGCGGTGCAAAGCAGCAGAACTAATGGGTAATTCTAGTACTAATTTTTAAGGCATTCAAATAGGTGCTTTCGAAAGATAGGTCAATACTGGACAGGTTTAAAGCCTTCAGGGGCTCTTAACGAACAATGTTATGCTCACGTAGAGGCACAAACTATGGCAGTGGCTGGAAAAAAAATTGACCACGTGAACAAAAGCACGAACACGTAACATGACCTCAAACACACTAAGCCATTATAACGATCCCTTGACAAAGTGCTAATGTGCATTCCTGTGTGTGTGTGTGTGTGTGTGTGTGTGTGTGTGTGTGTGTGTGTGTGTGTGTGTGTGTGTGTGTGGTGATGTAATGCTTTGGTATTGTATATATTGTCCTTGGGAATAGGAGATTTTCCGAGATTACATTAGTGAGAGTTAATTTTAACTATGGAACCTTTGTCTGCAATTTCAAAAACAAGAGTGACTTTGTACTGTGTGCCTTCATAATTAATTCAACTTGTCATTTTTGTAATGCAACTTAATTTGTTTTATAAAACCTCTCCAAAGATGCTCCTTTTTTTAAGATTTAGAAAAACTCGTTCTGACAACACAAAAAAGAGGTGAAATTTGAAAGAATGTAATTTTTAGAAATGTTATCTGATTTAAAAGTAAAGTCATTAAAGTAAAAAAGATAATAAACAATATTATGGCAAAATGTTAAGCTTTTGTATACTCCATATGTAGGCCGTGTTTGCTGTAGAACAGGTATTTTACCTGCCCAATGCAAACAGTGCTTAAGTGGGGTGTATTGATGCTGTCAAGTTCAGGATGTTGTTTAGCACCTCAGATCGTCTTGTGCATACAGCATGCCTGATAAATATAAAAAACAGGAAGACACACTTCAATATCTGCAGGCTATCAATGATGGTTTTTGTAGCACACAAGTTACGTAAGTGATGCAATGCAAAATAGGCCTGGCGCTGCAGGGGTCAAAAGCCCTGTGTTGTGTTGTTTTAAGAAGCAAATGATTTAGGAGTTTTAGAATCTCAACTGTCAGCATTGTAATGGTTCTAAATAAATCCATCTCACTGTCACAGAGCTTTAATTAACATTAACTAGAGACACATGCACAAACATGCCATGGAGAAAACAGCACCAGATAACAGCTGCAAGTGATGTCTGCCTGCTCAAACACATTGGTTGAGGAAATGAATTTGTGTGTGTGTGTGTTTGTGTGTGTATCCTGATCTATTCTTAGCCTTCTTTTTGTGGTCCATGTAGCCTTGGAGGGCTTAGGGATATTTATGTAAGAGAGAGAGAGAGAGATTGGCCTCCCAGATCACCAGTCCGGAGACACACACACACACACACACACACACACACACACACACACACACACACACACACACACACACACACTCACTCTTGCGACCCCAGCTAGCAGTAGATGAACAAGCTTCTTTCATAAACATATCACATATTTTAACAAAAACTGACAAGATTTTGAGTGACTCAGGATTGACCCCCTTTTCTCTTTCTCTCTTCTGTGTTCCCTTTACTCCATCAAAGACCATATGTCTTCTCCCTGCTGACATCTCTGACTCACAACAAATCAGCTCTCTTCTGCCTTTTCGGTCCCACCTTATCTATATTAGTATGTAAGTACAGGAAATCAATACTTCTTTCTCTCCCTCTCCTTTAGGTCTGATGTTGTTGTGCTTTGCTTCTCTCTGGCAAATCCCAATTCCCTGCGCCATGTACGCACCATGTGGTTCCCGGAGATCAAGCACTTTTGTCCCCGGACACCCATCATTCTGGTTGGCTGCCAGCTGGATCTGCGCTATGCCGACCTGGATGCAGTTAACCGTGCACGACGACCACTAGCCAAGTGAGAAGCCTTCTTCATCCGGCATTAACACGCATATTCATATAGGAAATGCGCCACTGAAGTTTTTTTAAGTGAGGGTTGCGTGTGTGATTGCTCCAGTAAATCTAGATAAGTATAAGCTTTGTAACCATTGTTTGGCTGTGAGTAATTTAAATAATGAACTTCCATCCCAATTGTTCCATCATATCAATAAAGTCAAGTTAGATCTTAAAATGTGTACTGAGATGAAGACATCACAGTATTGCTTTGTGCAAATTGTATAAAAGATACTCACTTCCTGTTTTCTTGTACTTCTTTTTTTACTTGCAAACACGGCCTTCTTTTACATCATTATCTCTTCCTGTCCCACAGACCGATCAAACCTACTGATATCCTTCCACCGGAGAGAGGCCATGAAGTGGCAAAGGAACTTGGGATTCCTTACTTTGAGACCAGCATCGTTGCCCAGTTTGGAGTCAAAGATGTTTTTGACAATGCCATCCGAGCCGCCCTCATCTCCCGTCGTCACCTGCAGTTCTGGAAGTCCCACCTGAAAAGGGTCCAGAGGCCTCTCCTCCAGGCCCCCTTCCTGCCTCCCCGCCCACCTCGCCCCATCGTGGGCATCCCAGACCCCCCTCCCACAGATGGCGAAGGCCCAGATTCCCTTTTCTGCCAGCCACTGTGTACAGATGTTCTTTTTCTTCTGCATGGTGGTGCCACTCGCGTATTTGCACACAAAGTATATCTGGCTACTTCCTGCTCAAAGTTTAATGACCTCTTTACTCTTGATCTTGGTGGATCCTGCATGGTGTCACAGGGGGAGGAGCAGGAGAGGAAGGACAACTTGGAGAGTGGGGAGGAAGATGAACAGAGCAGGAGAGGAGCTAAGGAGCAAGCTGGGCGCACCAAGAGCCTGGACATTGATAAAGACGGGGCTGATGGAGGGGTTCGCGGCCTGAATCGCCCCCAGCTGCTGCAGCAGGGCTCTCTGAGGACTTCCCAGAGTGATAATGCACTCCCCTCTCGAGCCCACTACTCCCTGGGAGCACTAGGGACTGGCCGTGCACTTTCAGGATGGGGAAGGGGGTTCCTGAGTGTGTGTCTGGAGCATGTTGATGATCCCATGACTGGACAACCACGACTCATGACTGTGGTAGCCATGGATGCGCTTATACAGGAAGAACCATTCAAGGTGATAGACCTAAAGATGACTAAGATATATTCATGCATTATTGGGTAAAAGAATATACATCTGTTGATGTGATTATTACAGATGTTTTTGTTGGTGTCTCACAGTTGTTCCAAAGCTGTGTGTTTGCTCTGGTTTCAGGCAGTGCTTCAGTACCTGTACACAGGCAGTCTGGATGAGGGCAGGGGGGATCTGATGCAGATAGCCACCATCGCAGAGCTGCTTGAGGTGTTTGACCTCCGGATGATGGTTGCCAATGTTCTCAACAGAGAGAGCTTCATGAACCAGGAGATTACCAAGGCGTTCCACGTCCGCAGAGCCAACCGTATCAAGGAGTGTCTCAATAAAGGGACCTTTGCTGGTAAACCAGAGTGCCAACCATTCAGCGCATTAATACTTTCAATAGCATTAGTGTGTGTAGATGTTTTCCATATATGCATTAGTAGGTGCATGTGTGGGTGTATGTGTGTGTGAATAGTGGAGGATTAAGAAAAGCTGATGGAGTGAATGTGCAAGACTGTTTTCCTAATTTTCAGCATTCTTTTAGTCTCTGAAAATGTACACTGTGTACATTTTTATACATGTTGTGAACATTTTGATCACATATTTGACATAGAATATTTGCTATAAAATATTAACTGTTTGTTGTGGTCGTGGTTTGCCAGTTTTTTACTTCCTTTTAAAGCCATTAGGTGATTTAATGACTGTGTGTCTGGTCATTTGTTCGCTCTTGTGTGCTTCCTGTGTCTTGTGTGTCTTGTCTGTCCCACTAAGCTGTTATGTATGCATGTTTTCACAGTATTTCCAGGCAGAGCCAAACATCAGCTGTCTCAAAACAAAGCCTGTCTCACATTCACTTCTTTCTGTACTTTCTGTACTCTCTCTGTTCATCTTTATGGTTTTAACAATGGGATTTTTTCTTTAAAATGCTTATTTGAAATGATATTGATAAACAAAGATACCAGAAAAATTCTATAATGAGATCTGCTTTATCCAAACTTTATTAAAGGATTGAATAGAAAATATATAACATCTTTGCTTACAGATTTAGCCCATTATGACATTTTAACACTAACACGGTTGTTCTCTATCAACATGTTCCCTTCCAAAGCTCTAGACCAGAGTCCACACAGGATTTACTGCTTGACCTACTACCCTGCGCCTGCTCTCTTTCCCTTACTCTGTGTCAAAAGCTGTTCTGTCTTTCTGTCAATTTATCTCTCTGTCTGTCTACCTGTGTCTATGTCTCTGTGTGTCTGTCTCTCTGTCTGGCCTTCTGCCTGCCTGTGTGTGTGTCTGGACGTCTGCCTTGTCTGTCTTTCCCCCTCTGTAGCTTGGGCTTCTGTGGCACTCCACGAGATGAATGCTCTTTTCCACCCCGGTTTTAGATGTGGTGTTCCGCCTGGATGATGGCTACCTCCCGGCTCACAAGCCCCTGCTCATCTCCAGCTGCAACTGGATGGCTGCCATGTTCCGTGGCTCTTTCATGGAAAGCTACATTGAGGAGGTGAGTTAAGACAACTAAATTCATTTAGGCGAGTTGCCTTAAGTTTTGAGCAGGGATTTAATTTTCTGTTTCCTTAATCTTTGGAAGAAAACTCAGATCAGACTTTAGGGGAATCTAATCGCACAGTAACATATAATAAAAGAAGAGATTAGGCAAAGGTGAAGGGGATAAGGTTGTACTCTGGAAATGTCTGACCTTCAAAACATTGTACAACCAGCACATGTGTACTTCTGGTATGTAATGGTTTACTGCTCCGGATGCCTAAGGCCTGTTATCAGATTGACGTACAAACCATTGTTTTACCTGCAAATGTGGTTCATGTTCTGCAATTACTAGACCCCAGGAGGTCCTGCATACACAATTAGCACATATTGAATGTACCTACAGGAACATTTACATGTAAAAAAAAAGCATGCAGATGTTGAACTAACCTAATCTCAGTACTCAAAGTAGGCCCAGAATAGTACTTCTTTTGAGATCAGAATCCTCTAAGTGGCAGGTCTGGTTACTTCAGGTGCGCTTTCACCTGAGGATAAGCTTCAGGTCGTCTTCTGCCTCCTGCAAGGCCAGTGCCTGTGCACCGGACCTGACCTTGTCATAGAGGAAGTTCATGTCTCCGTCTGTCTTTAGGTCGGAGCTCCCCGGACTGTGTTGCAGAACCAGATTCCCTGGGGTATGGTTACTTTCGAGGTCAGCAGGATTTTGGTTACATAGATTCAGGCCCTCAGAGGGATTGGAAGTAATCAGAGAGAGACAGACAAGTAACACAACTGTTGCATGGTCAGTTTAAGTTTAAAGCTCAACATTATTGAAGGCATGTGAGAAGAAATAAACCATTTTGTTTTCATGCGGATGGCATGGAAGGTTTTTCGAAGACACACCATGCTAGTGGGAGTGAAAAAAGCAATTGCGGCTATTGTGGACGATGGTGAAAACAGGACATCAGCATCAGTGAGGGGGCACAGTGTTTTCTGCCGGTGGGCTGCCGGTGTCTATGGTTACTCTAAACGCTTCATGTCAGTGACTATTGTGGCATTGTTTATGGCCTGTGGCTGGCAAAGAAGGCAGGTGCCCTCGAGACAAAGACTGAAAGGCAGAATGTTTTCTGGCATTATATTTTCATGTATCTGCATTTTTTTTGCAAAGCTTTTCTTTGCTAATTAGTGAATGTGATTTTTATATGCAAACCAAAAACATGCCAGATTACCAGATTGTAAACTGGCATACGTATCATGTTCACTATCAGGCACTCATTTTATAAACCAAAGCCATGATTTAATATTATTGTTTAACTTCCATTGGAATCATATCTAAATGATTGGTTTTACAGTTATTTCAGGTAATATGTTAAAGCCATCTACCTCAGTGAACAAGCAATTCGTTTTATACAGGGGAATATTCTTAGACCTATTCCAAATAAACAAAACATTTACACTTCCATAGAATTTGTCAAATTTAACTGGGCTGTTTCATCCATTTTAGGACAAGAACATGAAGAATAAAACATTAAACAAGGGTTAACATGGTTTTATATATGTGAATGATCTCAACAATAATAAAACTGTTGCTTTAGGTTCAGGAAGATTGTTATTTAAATCAATTATACAGCAAATTAATAGAACCTGTAACTATAACTGTGAAAGTAGCATGTGATCAGCCAGCGCTATGCTATTTCCTGCTCATCTCACACTTCCTTCCTGGTATTTTTAGGCTCACACATTTCAGTGTTCATGCGGTTGTGTGATAACAAGACCAGTCTAGTTTTGTGCAGAACTGCATCAAGATAAGTGTTTAAAAGCAGGATTATTATCAGAATAACTTGTATTTTGTTAAGTATTCGCAACATTATAGACACATTAGCAAGTAATCATCTTTCTGGATGTCAGTCATAGTTAAAAAGGTGTTATCTATGGTGTCATAAACCACGAGTCAAAATAAATGTTTAAGGTTTGTGTGTACAGTCTCACCACTGAGTGTGTCATGGTACACCCCTGGATTACATTCCAGGTGTGTGGTTTTGTGTTCATCATCGAAGTGTGCGTCCCAGTAGAGTGTTACAAGTTGAGAAGTCTGTTCCTTTCTTGTTCTGCTCAAGAAAAAAGAAGAGACTGCAGATTTGACAGGATTTTTTTAATCTATGAAGACTTTTTTCACAGTAAAAGAAGAATAAGTCTCATTCTTACTCCTTATACCTTGTACCATCCTTATCTTTGGTGGTGGCTGTGTGACTATGCTTCTCTCTCACCCACACATTATTTTAAATATTTTTCAACTCATTACGTCTCTAAATGTTCAATTGCGTTGAGTTTAGGTTTTTTAAAGCCTAAGTGATGTCCTTGAAGGGCTAATCTATTGTATCTGTAGTTATGCAAATAAAATAAACTTGCAATTAAGTAGTTATTGAGCTCTAGTACAGCAGACCAAGAGAACAAAAGAACACCTGTCAGCACAGCTCATTGGTGTTATCCATACATGTCCTTTCAATGTGAATGTCACTCAATATTGCTTCCTGGCCTCAGCTGGGGCTTCATGCTCTAGAGACCACCCTTGTCTTGGTGTTGTGACTTTTCAGTCATAACGAGAGGTCGCGCCAGCTGACATTCTCTTAATTGGCTATGGTAATGGAAGTTGAAGAGCGTCTCTGTGGGGACACTCCGAGGGAGAGCTCCTGGAGGGGGCCGGTCATCACTTGCCTCAGAATTAACCTTCCTTCCACCCTTCCTGGGGTTAGACTGCATTACCTGTCGCTGAAATGCCCGGCTATCAGTAATTAGGCCTGTCTGAAGGTCAAGCTGTTTTTTATGCATGTATGTATACCTCTACCAAGTGGAAAAGTGGGACAAACAAAAGAGAAGCATGACCAGGGGGCCTTTAGTAGCTATGGTCTAAATGATGGTATGGCGACATCTAGAGGTCATTGCCTGTGATTGCTTTTATGTGGACTCGAATTTGACACTTTGTACCCACTTTTAAATATATGTTGTATTCCCCTTTACTGACTTTAACTCTGTGTGTCTGTTGTAAAGTCATCACTTACAGGTGCTAACTTTTTAAGTTCATCTCTAGACATGCTGATGCATGTATCTCAGGAGAACATTGAGTCTATGCGAGTGCTTCCAGGGTCAGATAGCAGGGTTGCCTTTGTCTGGTTTGGGGTGTTTAGCCATATTGACAACATGCTTTCCACCAAACATCACTTGTATCTGAGTCTAGATCAAAGAAAATTGAACCAGAAAATGTCTTCTGCCCTTTACCTCCAAATACCCACTGCACTGGTTTCTTTGATAGTACTCTTTTAGACCATACACCATTTCTAGCCATTGCATTAAAGCCTACATTTAAGTCCATTATTTCCACATTGACCTACAGCTCTTCATTACTCTTCATTTTTTGTTTTGTTTTATCTTGGTCTTGTCATTTTCAGGTCTCCATCCCTAACACCAGCGAAGCCTGTATGCGTGGGGTGTTGGAGTTCCTGTACTGCAGTCTGCTGACACCCTCTCCTGGGCTGGAGCCCATGGAGCTCATTATTCTCGCCAACCGTCTCTGTTTGCCCCGCCTTGTCGCCCTCACAGGTAAAGACTGCATCTGCAGTAATAGAAATGTTGCAAAGAGAACTAGGGAGGCGTGTGGTGCAGTGCGTTGGTGTTCGGATCAGGGGGTCACAGGTTCAAACCCCACTGCAGTCAGCATGTCGTTGTGTGTCCCTGAAAATAAAAAAAATATGGCACCTAATTTTTCCCAGTGCACTTTGTTAAAATGAAACACATATTGTGGAACCACACACAAGATAACGGCAATAAATTCAACTGTTAACATTTAAAGCATTTATTTTATATCATAGATGTTAATCTTTAAACCAATGTAATCCAATTCACCGATGTAGTGCTTAAGAGAAAAATATTTAGTAAGAAGTATTTAGAAGGTGAATATGTTTATCTTAAAAAAGTGCTAGTTTAGTTTATTTTAGCAAGGAAAAACAATCAAAATCCCACATTTATAAATACAAACTTTAAAGATTCAAAAGAAGATTGGAGATTTTTTATTTCAGAGCTGCTTTTATGTTTATGGCATTCTTCATGCTGGCTTACTTTCACACTGTCTTTGCTAACTAGACAGAACCGTTTTTAGAAACTCCCTTGCCATTTGAAATGTCTGTCTTATTAAAAACTAAATAAACTAAGGTTACAGCATCTTCAGGGCATGACAGTCACAAGACGGTGTGTATTATGATCAGTTCCTGTATGCCTGGACTGAGTATGACAGAAAAAAGCATTTGGATCGAAACAAAAAAGCGGTGTTCCACTATGTGTTACTGAGTCAATGTTGAGTTTTTAGAGGACATTTGTGTATTCATTTATTGATTTTAGGTGTGAATTGCCTCTCACAATTCACACAGCACAGTCCCTCTCTTTAACAATAAACAGGTGGCTTCTTAACATCATAAAGGGGAACTTGTCTACCGGTTGATGATTCAACAAAAAGAGTTTACAAGCTCATTTACAAGGTTATAAGGGAAAGTGATGAGCAAACAGTGTACGCTGTTCAGTGAAATAGCTGCCAAGAGCCAGAGTGTGACAGAAGGGTTCATTTTGTTGGACCAGTTAGACCAATTTATTACATAATTGTTTTTTTTTAAAACTTGTGTACAATATTGTGCTATAGTTGAAGGCACAATGAGTAGTATGTTTATACTTTAAAATGATCCCCCCCTCAATTATCAGTTATAAAACCTTAAAAGGTGTGTGGCAGTGTGTGTACCTGCAATGCAGACCTCTGCCTGTATATCCTTATTTGGATGTGTTCAGGACTTGTCTTCAAGCGACCAATTGGTAGATATTTGCTAACATCCGCAAAGCTCGAATTTCTAAAATGCCCCTTTCTAAAAGCCCCCTTTTTGGCTATATTACACTTATCTGTTCCATTTAACATGTCTTATATTCAAATGATTCACTTTCTGTTGTTGCAGTTATAGTTTAGTCACTTAACTGCAAACACAATTTCCTTTCAGTGACAATATGCTTAAACTGAATTGTATTTCATTTAGCTGTAAATGTGGTTCACCTTCTTAACTGCATTCTTTATTTTTTGGTTTTACTGAAAATAGGCAATAAAAGATCAGAATTGTCAAAGAACAACAACATCAAAAGAGCTTAGTTATTGCCCTGTACTGGACTTTATGCCCTCTCTTGTTGAAAGCTGAACTACTGTATTCATTTTTACAGTTTGTTAACTCGTATCTCTGTGTGTTTACAGAGCCATCTATATCTTCGGGAGTAATGAATCACTCTACAGGTAAGTTAGCTGTGAGACAAGTCAGTTCAAAAGGAGTAAAATCGGCAAACAAAACCAAACAAAACAAACATCTACCACTCACACTTGACATAGAAACAGGCTGTAGATAATATAACACTTTATAAATGAAATGCTTTGAATGTTCCAATTTGTTCCTTACTTTATTATACATTTGGTCAATTTAATCCATGTCTTTTTTCAAAGATCTTTGGAGCAAAGGCTCCCAACACCTTTGAGCCTTTGCCCGGACAGCGCCTGGAGGATCCGAGACCTAAAAATGCAAACGGGGTGAGGATGCATTTATCTATACTAACAGTGAGAAACAGTCACATCCATCTTTTTACAGTTGCTATGGCTATATGGTTAGCCTCCTCACCCTGTTGTTAAATATTTACTAAATGTCCAACTGCTCAGAACAGACAATAAATGGTATGAATCTTTATTAGGTCAAAGTATCACTGGAAGCTTTCTAGTGATACTTTAATTATTGGTTAATGTTTTACAATGGCAGCTCCAGCTCAGTAAGCAAGTTAAATATGTACCTGCATGCCCCTCAGGAGTTTGAAAACAAGGGTTAGCGCCATGAGATGACCTTGTATACGGTTTATCTCTTATGTGGTCCACTGGGTAATGTTTCTTTCAGTGAGTTGTTCTTGTTCTCTATCTTTGTTATCAGTGGTAAACGGAGTACTACATTTTATACTTAAATAAAAGCAACAACACTGCTCCTACTACTAGGATGGGTTAAATGCAGAGAACAAATTTCACTGTGTGTGTGCTGTGTGCTCTGCATGTGTGACCATTGAAGAGGGTTTCATCCCTCCGATTCTACTAAATTGTTAAAACGCTTTCTTATAATTAAACGTTGTGCATTAAAAATCTTAGTGAAGTAAAGGTACAACACCATTGACATCAAAATATACATGTACAGTGGGGCAAAAAAGTATTTAGTCAGCCACCAATTGTACAAGTTCTCCCACTTAAAAAGATGAGGCCTGTAATTTTCATCCTAGGTATACCTCAATGAGACAAAATAATAAAAAAATTAAAATTAAAATAAAAAAAAATAACAAAATCCAGAAAATCACATTGTCTGATTTTTAAAGACTTTATTTGCATATTATGGTGGATAATAAGTATTTGGTCACCTACAAACAAACAAGATTTCTGGCTCTCACAGACCTGTAACTTCTTCTTTAAGAGCCTCTTCTGTCCTCCACTTGTTAACTGTATTAATGGCACCCGTTTGAACTCGTTATCAGTATAAAAGACACCTGTCCACAACCTCAAACAGTCACACGCCAAACTCCACTATGGCCAANAATTATTTAATTACTGTCACTGTCTCGTAAACAGGGAGAAACAACAGCCAATTGGGACACTGGGACGGACAGACGTGCAATAGATGCCGTGTGTAAATTGAAAAGATAATACANACAAATGTTACATTTGTCTCAGTGGACTTCACAGTTTGTACAGAATATCAGTATGACAATATGACACCCTCTGTCCTTAGACCCTCACATCGTACAAGGTCCTTGTACGATGTGAGGGTCTAAGGACAGAGGGTGTCATATTGTCATACTGATATTCTGTACAAACTGTGAAGTCCACTGAGACAAATGTAACATTTGTGATATTGGGCTATATAAATAAACATTGATTGATTGATTGATTGATTGATTGATTGAACTTCTCCCAGTGTCCCAATTGGCTGTTGTTTCTCCCTGTTTACGAGACAGTGACAGTAATTAAATCATTAGGAACATGTACCGCTGTAACCCCTCACCACCAATCTCATGAGGTCAAGAGAGACATCAAGAACCTTTTGAAAGAATCATTGCCATTTACCCTTTATCCATCTATTCCCACACCAGGCAGAGAAAAAAGACTTGAACTCTTTCAAACCCAACTGACATTTTTCACCAAGGGAGGCCTTTGATTTCTAATTGTGATATAGATCATAAACGTTGTGCAGCCCTCCCATGGGTGTGTTTGGTGTAGTGCTGTAGCTCTTGAAGTGTTGGATGATTTGTTTTGCTGCTATAATGTCCATTTGAGCGCTTTGGGGGGTTGGCATGATAAAAATCAGTGACATTTGGAGTCTCTATAAGGACTAAAAGGTGAGTGAGGATGAAATATGAAATAGGAGGAGATGGAGAGAGAGAAGAGGGAGACTGTCACACATGGCTGCGGGCTTCAAGGCTGACCACTCCTCGTTAGATTTCATCAAATGGTGCAGCTGCTGGTGCTTCATCGCAGGGGAGGGCAGCAAAACCCTACATTATTTGTATAGCTGTATGATATTTTGCACAAATGGATGTCTACCATATTGTGTTAAAGACATTCAATGATAATATTGTTTTTTGACAACAAAACAGAGGCTGTCAGCATCACATTCAATAATTTCTACATATTAAATACACAATGGTTTATTTTCCACAATCACTGACAGATGCAGTGTTGCATAACTGTAATCAACATATTAATAAAAAGAATGCATGCATGCTTTGGATATTGCATTTGTTTTGTTGTTACTTTAAAGATGATCTTATGGAGTACAGTATGTTACATTCATACTGATGCACTACGTAGGTCAAGTGTGTCAAACTCAAGGCCCGGGGACCAAATCCAGCCCGCAACTTCATTTTATGTGACCCCACAAGAGCTTACAAAGAATATAATATGTTTGTTATACGGTTACAGTACATGGCGATTTACAGAAGCACGTTGCCCATACATGGAGAACAAAGCATCTCAGAATTTGACTTTTTTCTCAGAATTTGCCTTTTTTTCTTCTAAATATGCTTTTTTTTCTCAGAATATGCCCTTTTCTCAGATTTGACTTTTTTTTGAAAATGTCACTTTTTTTTTCTTCTTCTTTTTAAATAATTTTGTGAAATTCTCACTGAAGAGACTTGCAAATAATTTGCCCTAGACTTCTGCTTTCAGACCTAGTTAATTATGAAGTTATTACCCTATCCGATAATAATCCAATGCAGAGGCAATGATGTCATATAATACATTATTATATATATATATATATATTTATATATGCATTTTTATATAGTCTTAAAGTTATAACCGGCCCTTTGAGTGCCACTATAATGCGAATGTGGCCCATGATGAAATTGAGTTTGACACCCCTGCACTATAGGTATTACATAAGCTGTTCTTTCGGATACAGTTCTATATTCAAACGTATATTATTCAGGATTTATATTATGTAGAAATTGTGATAGAAGGTTTTTCTGATAATGGTAACTCATGTGTAAATGCATAGTAATAACATATTTGTTAACTCCCTATACTATACTGTAAATATCTGTGTTTATTCCCTTTGTGTGCTTGGGGTATCATCGTAAAGCTATTCCCTATAATATATTAAACACACAGACATTGTAAAGATGTTTTCTTTGGGTTGCCTAGAGTTCAGCTCATTGTTGCTTTGAAATTTCATATATGCGTCCTCACTCTGAATCCACTCTCACTAGAATCCAACCTTACACCCCCCGTGAAGCAGTGTTTAACATAACAGTTATAATACTTCACATTTCAAGTGCTTTTCAATGACGAGTTCAAATGATTAGTTCCTGCTCTTGTAAATGCTCTGGCATTTGCAAACCAGGTGCATCAAATACCATGAAGCATGATTTATTTAGGTACACAACGACAAAGTTCTGAAGTGCGTTCAAGGACAAACACGACAGAAGAAATAAAGAGGAAGGATGTCAACAGGTGCCTGTCTGGACTTTGGTAGGGAAGAGAACACCTGGAGGTAGCTTATTCCTAAGAAGTGTAAATGCACTACAAGTCTCCTGATGGTGGCTGGAATAAATCCACATGAGTGCAGGCTCTGACGCCTCGCTGTGGTTTTAAACATTCATACCTCACAACTGAAAGCTCCAGCATAGTGTTTTCTGTATGATAGTCACCGGCATCAGTACAGACAGGTAGTCTCGATTATACCCTCCATGTGCTGTGGCAAGGTATTCAGCGGCATTGCAATTACAGCTGGGAATAAAAGTGTTGATAAAGGTTTCCCACACGGTATGAGATGTGTTGTTTGTAGCGATATACTATATGAAAACCTCCAACTGCTATGTTCTCGATGAATGTTAGCTATGCGAAATTAATTCATGTGTGATGTAATGGAAGCTTTAGAGTTTTTTTAATAAACAGCTTTTATATTATTGAGTGTAAACTGTGTACTCTTTCTGGTCCCCTTTACTCCGCTGAATGACGAAAGGCATTGAGAAGGAGGCCGTGGGTTGATAAGGAATGAGTTAATTGAGTTACCAGCCTTGCAGAATGGAGCGAGATCTGGCCGCTTCGGCTACGGAGGTGACAAAGAGATTAGATGCAGGAAAGATGGCGCTGAATCGCACTACAAGTGTCAGCCAAAGCCGGTCCAGGCCTCGATAATGCCTCGGATTGCCCTCGCTTACTTGAAAACACTCAATCACACAATAAGAGCGACGGCAGCGTGTCAGGGTCTGCAACAGAGACCAAAAATACTCAAGGATGAGGAGAAGAGGATTAAATGATGTCTCTGCACTGAAGTAGTTAACACCATACTTTCTCTGCATACATTATAATGATGATTACAGTCATTTTGATTGGTGCTGGTTATAGGGTGGTGGATGGTTGTTATCACCATCCATCATCCAAGATTAGATTTTCAC